TTTTTTAAAAAAGAAAAAAATCAAAGAGCAGAACACGATAGAAAGGAAAGGTACAAGATACGTGGCATGCATGCAAAGCAAAGAGAAAGTAATTTTGAGTGCTGCCTTTCGGTTAGTCTCACCTGTTCTATTTCTTCATAGCATGCTTACATGATAGCCACACCACTCTTTTTTGCTATGATAGTCCAAATTCACTATATACATTATTTTTCAAAACGTTTATCTTCGAATTTATGATCTCTTCATAAATTTTGTTACAATAAAACGTCTTTTAAATAAAAAAATAATATTATTCATAAGTTATTGATTTAATGATAAACGAGTTGATTTTTAAATGAATGTTTTATCAATATATAGAGTTTGAATTTTAAAATTATACATAATGAGAAAAGTTAATTTTTTTTTTGTTTTCTCTTCAAATAAAATTAATTTTATGTTCAATATAAAATAAAAATATCATATAAAATAAAATAAAATGATATTTTATCGGTATCATATGTTTTATTTTGGATGGGAGTTTGATATTTGTTAAATAGTGTGTATGGACCATTGGTGAATTAAAAAAAGTTGCATGATTGAAGAGAAGACAAAAGAGTTGGCATCAAGCTGATGCCATAATAATAAAAATCTGATAGTGATTCAAGCAATCATGTAAACTTGACTGAACTCTTTATTTGGTTGCGAATGTATCATTGCCATGTGTTGCTTTGATTGACAACAATCTTCAATGGGCTGCTTTATTTTTTGACTTCTAGTAGTAGTAGTTTCAGACTAATTTGTTATTACGAATCATATAAAACTAAATTATTTTAATTTAATGCATCACGTGTTGTTGTAAGTTTATTAAAATATATCAAATAAAAGATAATATTAAAAAAAATAAATTTAATAACTTTTTAATGAAAATCTTATCATAAATTTTCAATTGAAAAAAAACCATTCTTCATTTTTTTAAAACACATTGATTCTTAAATAAAAACAAACAACAATCTAAATAGAAAATTGAATTCAAAATTCTTCTTCAAAAAAAAAACTTTAATATTTTTCCATAAGATTTTATAAAAAGATAAAGTTACAATTAATATACAAAATTATTTAAAAATTAAAATAAAAAATTAAATTTTTATTCTTATTTAATGCTATAGAAAAAATTATTTTTTGAAAACACACACACACACACACACACATATATATATCACAAAATAATCAATAATATAATATTAAAAAATATATTTGAATTATTTGGTGGGCAAATGGTTAGTATTATGTATGTAGATGTACAGTTAATTTTTAATAAAATCGACAATCTAACTTTTTATATATATATTATGATTATACTTCGTAGGTTCAAAGTGTGCGTCATAAAACGATTATATATATAATTTAAAAATTATAAGAATTCATCATATAAATTATCATAATGTATTTTTAAAAAAAAAATAAAGAGATTCTAAAATTTTATTCCAAAATCCACAATAGACAAAAAAAAATCATATTTTTTTAACAAATAAAATTATATAAAAAAACTAATTGGATGTTTTCATAAAAAATTATTATTATTATTATTATTATTATTATTATTATATCATTTAAAAATTATAAAAATTCATCATATAAATTAAAATAATGTATTTAAAAAAAGAGAAAAAGCAAAAAAAAATCTAAAATTTTATTTAAAAATCCAAAATAAAGAGAAAAACAAATCATATTTACTTAAAAAATAAAATTATATAAAAAAATAAATTAAAAAAACTAATTGAATGTTTCCAACAAATCGAAGAAATCATCCTAAGATCTAAAAACAAAAAATCAAAAAGGATAAATCAAAGAAATCATATTTCTTCATCGCCAGATTGTTTGAAAAACCAAAATTAATAATGATTATTTTTTCATAAATTTAGCACCAAATCTATAATAAAAAAATACAAATAAATTTCTTGGAAAAAAAAATCCAAGAATCAAAATGCTATATAAATAAAATTAGAGATTAAAAAAATGTTTTGAAAATATGAGGGACCAAAGTGTAATATTTGGTAAAATTTGTGTATAAATACTTGAAAACTACTCAAAAATCATGAAAATGCCACTACAGTAAAAATAAACTGCGCATGTAATTCTCAATGAATAGTGCATTGAATGTGGATAAATAGTGACGTGAATAATATTTTCTTCAAATCTTTTAGTGTAAATCATGAAAATGCCACTACAAAAAAAATAAGTTGTGCACATGATTCTCGATGAATAGTGCATTAAATGTGGATAAATAGTAATGTGAATAATATTTTTTTAAAATCTTTTAGTGTTATATTGGTATTTTACCTATATTATACTACGGATTGAATAGAACCATTAATTTTAAAAAATAATTTCAGTTTGGTAGTCTATGTTATACCGTAAGTCTACTAAGATATATCAAATTGAAAGTAAGAAAAAAAAAACCATTAATTTTTTAAAATTTTGAGTTTAACTTATTATTTATTGTATTTTTCATAAATTTTTTACTAAAAAGAACATGATTCTTCTTGATCTATATCCTTATTCTTATCTAAAAACTTGTAAGAAAAATTAAAAATCCATGGATTCTTATTTGTAAACCTTTTTTATAATTGTTTTTCCTAAAAAATCTAAGACAAATTATCTTAAAAACACTTTTAATTAATTAATTATATATATTAGAATTTTTTTTATTTGTTCTTAAAATAAATTGATATAATTTATATGATGGATTCATTATGTTTTTTAATGAATTTTTACAATATTGTTATTTGTAAATTAAATAATCCATCATATAAATTATATCAATTTTTTAAAGAGCAAATAACAATATTCTAAAAATACATTATATATATCATTTAAAAAATAAAAAATCCATCATATAAGTTATATCAAATTTTTTAAAAGCAAATAACAATATTCTAAAAATTCATTAAAAAATCCATACACAGATCTCTATATCCTTCCTTTTCTCTTTTTGTTTCTGTCTCATTTTAATAGTTAGAGACCAAATTGCAATACACACAAAGTTATAAATCAAAATAAAAGTTGTTAAAAAATGAGAGACGAAAGAACAATATGAGCAAAAAATTACCAAATCTAGAGTAAATGTTTTTATCATATCAAATACATATACATACACATATAATATCTAATATTTTATTTTATTTTATAATTAATTTTAATATAATCAAATGACTAAATAATTAATTTTTAAAACAAGAGAGACTAATTAATTTTTTTCTCGAAACTAAACAAAATAATTTATAATTTCCTATGTCATAGCCAAACAAGCATTCCACTTTCCAACGGTTAAAATTAAATATAAGGTCTCTCATATTAGGAGATCTTGTTTTATTATTATTATTATTATTTTGAAGATTTTTTTATATTTTCATAATTTTTAATATTTGTGCAACAATATTTTTCTAAACATAAAATGGGTTTCTTTAAATTTTTCAAACTTTTAGATACTTTATGAAATTTCATAATACCTCAATAGAGTTATTGTAATTTTTTTATTTATTTATTTTTTAAATGGAGATATTAAGTATTTGGAAATTTCCAGTACGATTTTAAATAATTTATCAATATTATGATTAGTATATTCATGAGAAATTATTTTAAGCTTTTGTAATTGTATAATGCCTCAAGTATCAAAAGGGCTACGAAAAATCAAATGCCCTGGGCTTGGACTGGAAGGGTTTGGGCTACCAACTTCGAGCAGCCCAGGCTTGACTTTACTTGGGGCTAAAAACCTTTTTTTTTTTTTTTTTTTGAAGAATTAGGGCTAACCAGCTTTGGAATCGGGATCATGATGAGTTTGTATTGTCTAGCTCAAAACTTCTCAACCATAAATGTTGTATGCTACATTCAAGACCCATAAAGAACCAGGGTTTATGATCATTTTTATGAGTAAATTATAAATTAATCTCTCTATTTTTATATAAAAAAATTAATTTATACTTAATTTATTTTAAAATATATAATATTTTCCATTTTTGCTCCTTATTTTCTTCCTTTTTAATTTCTTAAAACAAAAAATCAAAATAAATTAAAAAGAATGAAAATAATTAATTCATAAGAAAATTGAAAATTTAAATATATAGAGACTAAATAATTAGTCTTTAAAATGAAAAGGACTAATTAATTTGTTTTTTAAAACCAAAGGGACTAATTTATAATTTACTCTCATTTCGATAGATAAGCAACATGATACAAGTGGTATGGAGGGCAAAGTATTGTTTTCACCAGTCAAATTTGTTGAATGTGACGTTTCAGCTTATGATAAATTTTTCGTTTACAAAAATCCATTAAACATGTAAAGGAAACTCTATTAATTGGGTGCTGTTTTTATTTTTTATTTTTTTCTAATGAAAACTAAAAAACGATGGAAACTGAGATGCTTACTTTGGCAGCAGGCAACAATAATCCACAAGCACTCTATGTTCTTGCTTTTGTTTTGTTCCTATTGCTGAAGGAATCCAAGATAGGATACTGAAAATTAAACTATAAGATGAAATAAAATTTTAAGAATAATTTTGTATTGCTCTCTAATATTAAGGTCACTGTATTTTGCTCATGCAAGACAATATTTTAGACAATCCTTAAAGTCCCGTTTTATTACAAGTCGAACGCTACTCGATTTGTTAATCTTGAGTTTACGTAATTTTTTGTTCATCGATTACCGAATCTACTTTTTAAATACATTCTTTCTTTCTCACACAAGTTTTTTATACTTCCAAGGAAAGAAATTTACTATGAGTGTGATTTTTGTTCTCATAGAAATGAAATTAAACAAGTTTTGAAATGAATTTGAACATAAACGTATTTGAATAGTAGGGATACAAGAATTGTACAACGGGGCATATATAAATTAGGGGCAACTTTTTGGATGAAAGTTGTGAATTAAGGGCTAGAAACCATCTCCAGTCTTCTTAAGAAGCAAAACACCTCCATTTTTATATTTATTCTTTGTTTGGCACACCACCTTAGCTTCTATATCCATGGAAGGGCCTTCTGTTTCTTCTAGGAAGCTTAGGAGACCTCTTACTCAAAGGTCCAAGATTCATGCTGCATTGCTCTGTTCATATTGGTATGCAAATGATATCAACCCTATGTTTATTTATTCCTTTTTTTTAATGCTATTTTTATCTAATGAAGTCCATCATTTAATGCTTTTCTTAATTAATAGTTAATATGTATTAGCCATTAAATACTCAACTAATGATATAGCATTTATCTAGTTATTAGGTCTTAAAACTAGGGTTTTTCATACCTCAAAACCCTAAATTATATAGTAAAAATAAATTACATTTTAGATTATGCACAGGATGAATAATAATGGGTGTTCATATGCTAGTAATATATTATTTTTGAAGGTTTAATCCACATGGAAAATAGATTTTTTTTTCTCGTTATCATTAACTAATTGAATATTAAAAGAGATCATTTTTCGTAAATACTCTAAATCCAAAATATAAATAATCTAATCAAAATATCTAATTAAAAAAAATAATCTCAACATGTTAAACTATATTTAGATTCACAAGTCAAGATTACTACGTACTTTGTTATTAAAAATGAATAACGTCAACAACCATAATTACGTTTTGGTAGAGACAATCGTGTTCTTATTTTTACATTTATAAATATTTTTTTTAATTCGACAATAAAAATATTTACAAACCAATTTGAACATCAACTGAAACTAATTTTTTTCTAAATGATTAAAAAAAAGGCACCCCCACATCTCACATCTTAGAGCATACTCGTAGAGGCTGCATAAACTTCACATGTTAAATGCATGGAATGAAGTTAAAAATATATTTTGCTCCTTTATAAGTTGTGATATGTTCTTAAAAATAAAGGTTCACTTGTCTGTATATTTGCAAAATTGTGAAGAAAATCATCCGACAATGAGTAGCAATCAACAAGCTAATTAAAAGAGATAAAGCAATAGAGAAGGTAGCAGGCAGTCCTCACTAGCAAGTAGAAAACCTAGCGGTAGCTTTCACTGCTCTTATCAGCAAGCATTATGATACTTTCCTCATAAGTTTCCATAGTACAAATGTGGGGAACATGGAAACTTGGCAAGTTTTAATGCTAGTAGGTTAAAAATACCGGTTTTTAAAATCGATCAGAAATAGATGTATTCTGACGAATACCATACTGTATGTAAGTATTAAAAAAGAAGAAGCAGATATATAGATTTCTGACGCACAATATCTGATGATTCTAAAACATGGGAGATGCTAAATTCTGATATAATTTTTTGACAGTTATGTTTGATTTTCTAGCCTTATCATTTCTGTATCAGAACATTGTTGTCAATACCTGAATTTTACCCATTCTGTTTTTCTGCTACATAGTACCCTGTTTTTTTTTTCTGCCCCCCTTTCTCTGACTGTTAAACTAATCCTCCAGGTTCCTTAGCATTCTGCGGATGGTTTCTCTTGGATTGTTTTTGGAGTGGAGGATCAAGCACCCAAATGATGATGCAATTATGTTTGTGATCTGTGAAACCTGGTTTGCTTTCACTTGGTTACTTGATCAGCTTCCCAAGCTCTTTCCTGTTAACCGGTCAGCTAATCTTGAAGTTTTGAAGAAATTTGATCTTCCAGGGATTGATGTCTTTGTTTCTACTGCAGATCCTGAGAAAGAACCACCACTTGTCACTACAAACACTATCTTGTCCATTCTTGTAGCTGATTACCCTGTAGAGAAACTTTCTTGGTACATTTCTGATGATGGAGGTGCCCTTGTGACCTTTAAGGCTATGGCGAAGGCAACGAAATTTACGAAAATTTGGGTCCCTTTTTACCGAAAACATGATATCTGTCCAAGGAACCCTGAATCTTACTTCAACACGAAGCGAGAGACTTGTAAGACTAAGCTGTGTCAAGATTTTGTAAGGGAGCATAGGTACATGAAGCGGGAGTATGATGAGTTCAAAGTTCAGATCAATGCCCTTCCTTGCATCCTTCAGCAACTTTCTGATGTCTGTAATTCTGAGGAGGTGAGCAAAGGCATGAAGCATTATAAAGAGATCGAAACGAAAAGTCTGGCTTTGTCCGAGAAGGCTACTTGGATGGTGGTCGATGAAGCGAATTCGTCCCCATGGCCCGGAACTTGGATGGTTCCTGCACCTGAGCACTCTAAAGGAGATCACGTTAGTATCATACAAGTCTATTGCAAACTAGCTATAGCGTAGCTGATGTACAATGGTGTGCTGACTAAAACTGAGCTCCCTTCACTGTAAGTGTTATTAGAACCCCCAGCAGACAAACTAGTACAAGGAATCATTCCCGATATCGGTAATCGGTTCGTTTTTAGTGAAGTAAATTCTCATCTTCCTATGCTTGTTTATATATCCCGTGAAAAGCGTCCTGGCTATGATCACAAGAAGGTCGGGGCAATGAATGCCTTACTTCGAGCCTCGGCCATCATATCCAATGGATCTTTCATTCCTAACCTTGGTTGTGACCACTACATTTATAATTCCCAAGCCATAAAAGAAGGAATGTGTTTCATGATGGATAATGGAGGTGACAAAATTTGTTTTGTCCAGTTTCCTCAGAGATTTGAAGGAATTGACCCGTTCGATCGCTATGCTAATCAAAACATAGTTTTCTTTGACATTAACATGATAACACTTGATGGTCTTCAGGGTCCAGTTTATGTTGGCACGGGATGCCTCTTTCGCAGGATTGCTTTCTATGGTTTTGATCCTCCCATTGTTGGTGAGAAAAGACCACACAACACACTGAAAATAATGAGGAAACAACCAATCATGACATACTTCCAAAGTTATTCGGACATTCTGGCTCTTTCGTCGATTCAATTCCACAGGCAGCATTTCCAAGCCAACAGCTGGATGATCTTCGAGATGTCAAGGACAGACAAGCACATGGTTATATGAGAAACATGTCTAAACAACCTGTTGATGCAACTATAATTGCAGAGGCAATAGATGCAATCACATGCTGGTACGAGGATAAAACTGAGTGGGGCTAAAAGATTGGTTGGATATACGGATCAGTCACAGAAGATGTAGTCATTGGCTACAAGATGCACAATAGAGGCTGGCAATCTGTCGACTACATGAGTGAATGCAACGATGCCTTTCGCGGGACAGCATCGATTAATCTTACTGATAGACTACACCAAGTTCTAAGGTGGGCTACTGGTTCTGTTGAAATATTCTTCTCTCGCAACAATGCTCTTCTAGCTGGTCCCAGGATGAAATTTCTGTAGAGGGTTACTTACATCAATGTTGGAATGTACTCTTTCACTTCCATTTTCCTTATAGCTTACTATTTCCTTCCTGCATTTTCCCTTGTATCGGGTCACTTCATTGTCAAGACTCTTAACGTAAAATTCCTATCATACCTCCTTGTCATTGCCACCACACACAACATGCTTGCCTAGCTTGAAATCAAGTGGGCAGGCATCAAACTACAGGACTGGTGGCGAAACGAGCAGTTTTGGTTGATTGGCGATACAAGCTCCCACATAGTTGCTGTGCTTCAAGGCCTACTAAAGGTCATTGCTGGAATTGAGATCTCTTTTACTTTAACATCAAAATCATCCAGTGAGGATGAAAATGCTGATTTTGTCGATCTCTACACTATCAAATGGTTGTTCCTGATGGTACCACCAGTCACAATTATCATCCTCAACTTGATTAGCATAGCTTTTGGGGTTTGTAGGACTATATATGGTGTCAATCCACAATGGGGTCAATTGTTAGGAGGCGTGTTCTTCAGTTTTTGGGTCTTAGCTCACCTCTATCCTTTTGCTAAAGGACTTATGGGAAGACATGAGAGGACACCAACAGTCGTATATGTTTGGTCAGGACTTATTGCTGTATCTATCTGCCTCCTTTGGGTGGTAACCAACCGTAATAGCAATACGTAGGACTTGCAATGATATATTTGCAGCCAAGTGATGATATATTCGATTTTTATTCGTTTTTACGGTCAAATGATGCAATCAGACTAGCTTTTGCATATCGAGACTAAGAACATATCCAATGCTCTCTTTATATAAATATTTTTCTTTATAATAATGAGATTTGGCCTAAATTTCATCTCCAATACTCCCTTTATCACAATCTCTATCTTTAAAAGTGAGATACACAGTATTTTTAACTCTCTAAGAGCATCTCCAATGGTGCTCTTTACTTTTAACTAGCATTTTTAATGTAAATAGAGAGTATCATTAATTATATAGATAGAAGATCAATATCCTCTCTAATGCTACTCTCTATTTAACTCTTTATTTTGACAAAATCTATAAAACTCATAGAGACTATTGGTGAAGAGGTTGAGTGGCATTGGAAATAGTAATTTTCATTAATAAAATATAAGATAAAGAGTCATTTAGACTCTATAGTATTGGAGAGCCAAAGACACTCTTTATACTAATTTTAAAGATAAAGATTGTGATAAAGAGAGCATTGGAGATGAAATTTGGATCAAAACTCTTTATTATAAAGAAAAATCTTAATATAAAGAGAGCATTGGAGATGCTCTAATACTAGAGAGTCCAAATTACTCTTTATCTTATATTTTATTAATGAATATTACTATTTCTTATGTCACTCAACCTCTTCATCAATCAGATGGAGAGAGATTAACAGAAAAAAAATTTCAAAATTAAATATTTTATGAATTTTGTCAAAATAAAAAGTTAAAGTAGAGAGTAACATTGGAGAGGATATTGATCTTCAATTTATATCATTAATGATGCTCTCTATTTATATTAAAAATACTAGCTAAAAACAGAGAGTACCGTTAGAGATGCTCTAAAATAATAGCTCCAATTTAGACAACAAGATTTGTTTTCTCCTTTTTATGTTGTGCAAGCCTAAATTTGAATATGTTCACACCTATTTATCAATCTATGCATGGCCTACAATATCCTATATTCGGATACCTCTCAAACAATGATATGATAATTTAGGGATGACAATTTCCCCCACCTCACCCCATTTCGCCTCGATCAATGTGGAGATTCTTCGCATTGATCGGGGAACAAAGCAGGGTGGGATGCCCCATGAGCGGAGATAAGATGGGGATAATATTTACTGACCCCACCCGTTTGTTCCATTTCATGATTTTTATCCCTAAAATTATAATTATGTTTTATATAAAATCTATGACTAATAACTTTTAAGTTTATTTTCTATATGAACTATCATTTTTTTTATATATATAATTTGAAATTTGATAGTAAAATGAGATAAGACGAGACGAAAAAAAATTGATAATTTTTTACTTTGTTTGCCCTGCTAATGCCCTACGGAGATCACCGTCCCCGTATGAGGTAAGAATGCTATGACAAATTTTGCCTCATCTGAGGCACGAGGTGAGGATAGGGATGGCGATCCCCACCCCGCCCAATTGCCATCCGTACATGACATTGTAACAGCTTTAAGGCCTAAAATTTCCTGGAAAAATATTAGATTGTTCATGGAAGTGTGTGGCCTTGTTAACCAAATGTTTGGAGAGGCCATGTTCTTATGATCTATTAGACTGATTGTCTGCAAAGTTTTCCCTTGCATTCACATGCCATGTCCAGGATTTTTCTGCAACTCATCCAGAATTCTGCAATACATTCAGAAAGAACATTTGGGTCGCACAAGCAAGTCGCACAAGCAAATACCTTTCGCTTATAGTAAACACTCAACTCACACAGACATGTAAAGATCTACAAGCTTACATCCGTCAGTGGACATTGCCGATCCATGCGTGAAGCAAAAGCATCTTTATCAGAAGATGAATATTTATCCGCATAAAGCATGGCAAACTCAAGAAACCTTTTTCTGGTTTCTCAAACCATCATTACAGATGCTAGTTATGAATTCTCTTTATACAGACTCAAAATAACATCCAGCCTCCCAAAAAACCATCTATTGCCAAACAGCCTCGGTTCTCAGCAAGCTCTCAACGGGGTATGGCCATTATTGGGTTGCAGATTGTAGGAATTTAGCACTAGGCGTTTATGTAGCCAAGAGAAACCATTAAATATTATCCATGCTGATCAAGGAGTGGCAACGTTTTCCTTGGCAAGTGGAGCAATCTCATCTCCTTCGGCGCCAGCTTTGCTGCCAACAACATTTAGGCTTAACAGAACCTTTTCCCACAATCTGGCTGGTCCCTGCATCAAACCAAGATTTGTACTTTGTTATTTTGATTCCAGGAACTAAAAAAGTCGATAAAAAAATCGATTTCTTTAGAGTGCCATCATATTTGCAAGTATAAGTGCACTCAGTCTATTACAGTTGCAGGCAAGATGGGTTTCCGGTGTCCTCATTAATCACTAACCTTCCATGAAAGATCTTGGGACATGCAATTCTTGATCATTTCTCTGAAGGCAGCAGTTCCATAGACTGCAAGAGCTCTTACGACAGTCTTAACAATTGCAGCCACATCTCGTTGATCAACTACATCACACTGCAAAATATATTGTTTTAGAATCAAGGATAGAGGAAACAAATAAATCGAGTAGAGTAATTGCCACTTTGCTTATACCTCAACATTGAAGGCTCCCATGTGGAATCCTGTGTAACCTTCTTTGACAGTGTCAACAAGTCCACCAGTGGAGGCAACAATGCATACCTGCAGCAAAGTTACCAGTTGTTTTCTATCATATTTCACCAGAACAAGCAGCTAGAAGTTTTAAGTCATGCTAAATTCGTGGAGCAGATCAAGAAAATAGCTCCATAGAGAGAAGCAGGCAATTACCGTTCCGTATCGCATGGCATGCAACTGAATGAGACCACATGGTTCAAATCTACTGGGGATCAACATAAAGTCAGCACCAGCGATGATCATATGGGCCAAGCGAACATTGAACAATGCCACTCCTCTGACCCTATCAGGGTAATTTTTCTCAAGCTCGGCAATCTGCTTTTCCATGTATTTTTTGCCAGTTCCCTGAAGGAAACAACGGATCCCATCATTGAAATTATTGCAGACAACCACAGCAGCATAAAATAGGTGGAAAAAAAAAGTTGAAGTTTGACACTTACAAGGACTATTATCTGCACATTGTATTTAACCAGCATTGGAATGGCTGCGGCAAGAATATCTGAACCTTTTTGCTCTTCCAATCTACCAATGAAGCCTATTACAGGAATATCTCTGTCAACAGGCAATCCAACTTCTGCTTGAAGTTCTTCCTTCAATAATGGTTTTGCAGAGAAAACCTGAGCAAGAAAACCCCGAAAATCAACCACTTTATCTTTCAGATTTGCATTCTTTGGAACTAGAAATGATTATAAAGCACTTACAGTTGTGATATCATATTTGATGCTAGTGTATTTATCTGCTGCAGGATTCCATTCTTGAACATCCATACCATTTACTATACCAGTAATGGTCATTTTACGGATGTAGTTATCCAATTCCACACCCTTCTCAACTCCAGAAACAAGTTCCAGAGCATAGAAAGGGCTCACAGTTAAAACCCGGTGTGCTTCCAATATAGCAGCCTTCATCCAATTGATTTTCCTTCCCTTCACAGGCTTGTTATACCTGCCAAAGCAGAAGATCACTGAGTATTTGGACAGAGGAGAGGCACACAAACGTATAAAACTATATTTTTATTCATCTGAAAGCATCAACTGCTAAAAAATCCTCACCCATCCATGAAGTCGAAAGAGCTCTTGTACTTAGCTGGCAAATTGAGGAGTGGGAAATCTGAGAAGGCAAATCTACCCTGGTAAGCAATGTTATGGATGCAGAAGGCAACCTGTCATGATTGAATTGACAACAAAAACGTCAGAAACTCCGCAATCGGACAACCAAGCTAAGCAGAACTCTAAATGTCTCAGTTCAAGGGGTACCATTAACATACCTTTGCATTCATGTAAATTCCCCTGGATTGGTACATCGATTTTAAGTAACACGGGAGGAGAGCAGTGTGCCAATCATTGGCAACAAAGACAACATCTTCTCCTGCATTAAGTGAGAAAAGAACATGTATTGGAGAAATTTCTTCATAGGAAAATTAATTCTCACAACTTTGTAAAGCAGTACACACCATACGGTCCAGAGAAATGTTTGCCGCTGTTCAAGCTCAGAACCCTTGGTGCTTCAAGAGCAGCCTGAAAAACAATCAAACGACTCATTTTCTATCTACTTATCTCTCCACTAAACCAAATATTATCGAAATAACGATACTTACCAACTAGCATTATCGGATGAAAATTAACATAAACATGTTCGGTGTTTTCTCTTAACTCATTGTTAATCACTTTTGTAAAATAAGGAACCTTGCAAATAGTCAGGTCTGCTTGGCTGAAAGTTTGTACTAAAAGACACATGCTTTGATTATGTCTACACATTATGCAGCTTCTACATAGCTTAACAAGAGAGAGCTTGAAAGATTTTGTGCTGGTTTATAGTTATAATGCATGTTAAAAAACACTTTAACCATGCAGCATTCGAAGCACATGATTCAGACAACTTCTGATACTTTCTCATGATGCAATGATTTTGTGTTTCAGAAAGGCACAGGAAATTAAAAGGAATGGAAAATGTTACTTACCAGGCAGAACAAGCTAAACCGCAGTTGATTATCCCGGTAATCTTCTCCAGTTCTAGGACCATAGATTTTGGATCCAGTTTTGCCCCATACCTAAAAGATCCAGTAAATTTAGAATCAGAAACAATAAACAACATAAAAGACATTACCAAATCTTCTCTAGAAACTGCATTCTTAGACACCTGAACTTGCAAGAACTACATTCTTAGACATCAGAATCAGCAATCAGCAAAAATTTAAACCTTCGCTAGGAACATTGGATGATCCACGAACACGCGATCAACTCCACGTTTATAGCAGTGGAAGTAGCGAACAGTTTCAACTGTGTCCCCAACTTGTATCTGCATACAAAGTCCTCATCATTCGAGCGAACAACCTCAAACATTACCATCTTGACAGGCAAGGAAACAAACTAAACAAAGTAAAAATGATGCATTTTTAACATGGTAAAACTATGGCAAATTACCTGCACTAATACACAGGTGTCCCATGCATCTTTGTACTGGTCAAATCGGGGAGAGATCGTCATAACCCGGTGGCCTCTTGCCTGCACAACAATATCACAACAAAATTGATCAAACATAAGCCATCCTTAGCATTTTTCAAAGAGGAAACTAAGTATCAGAAACCCCATATACTCACAGCCAGAGCTGGAGGAAGTCCACCAACGACATCACCAAGACCACCAGTTTTACTCCATGGAGCAACCTCAGCGGCAACAAAGACCACAGTCATTCCTCCTTGTAGACAAACGATTTTTCCAGAAGTGTCATTCCTAGTGGCATAAGCCTTTTTGACAGACTTCCTAGCAAAAGCTTGAGTCCTCAGTTGCAGCTTGTCCACCATGTTCAGCGACCTTAAACCACTGTGAGTCATGCTTTGGCTTCTTGACCCAATTTGACCCAAATTCGACTTCGTTTCTGATCCATGGCCGCTCACATGTGAGCTCCTTGACACAAAGTGTGAAGCAGTCGCGCTAGCCATGACTCTCCTCCCTCGCTCTGCACATTCAAACCCAAAAACAAAAAATTCCTTTAAATTCTTTGAACTTTCCAACTTGATCATGCCAAGAAACCATAAAGGGGGAAGGAAAAAAAATAAATTCTGGGTTGCTTGTAAAAATGCTAAAAATTAATCAAGCTAAGAAATTTAACCTGAACGAATTACAAAGGAGTAAAAAAAAGCGACAATAAGGCCAAATAATGATCAAAATATGTCTAGAAAGAAAAATAACAAACTAGCAGGAAAATCTCTAGACTTTGATTTTGTTTAGAACCCATACGAACGCCAATTCATTAAAAATCTCAAAAAGCTGTTAACAAAAACCAGAAACATGTGAAGAACATTAACAACTTACAAGATCACCAAGTGAAGCGGGTTACTAGAAAGTTGTAGTGATCTAAGGCCAGCTAAGCTCGGAAATGAATGATTCACTGAATATTTTGTGACCAAAGATATGGGCTTTTGTAGCAGTTGCATACTAACACGTGCCAGGACACATGGCATTCTGGTACAGGCGATGGTCACTTCCAAATTCCTAGGCACCTCAAGATTGGGTTCACGGTCTGTATTTCATATGAAATTTTGGACCCACCATGGAATCATCTTGAAGAAGAATATGCTACAAATTTTGGACCCACAGGAAATCAAATTTGAGGAAAGAGGGTTAGATTTTTTGTACGCTTCAAATCAAGTGGCAGAAACGACATAGAAATGTGTCAACTTGTGGTTTGTGTTCTTTGGCTAGTGGGTCTTACAGGGTTCTGTCTTGCAAGTGCCAACATACTACAAAGCAACAACCTGGTGCCCATTACTGTTGCTTTCAATCAGATTTTATTGTATGGAAAAATTATGAAACTGACGGTGGAGAAATTGAGAGAAAAATCTTCCCAAGTAGTTGGCTTTTGAATTGCCAAATTGCCATTGCCATCCATGAATTATGGAAGATGTAATATTTTATTTTTAGTTTTTCCAGTACTAAGCAAAATCCGCTGCTTTCCTAGGGCAACTTGCAAGATTCATGGGAATAGTTTATTAGTTTCCTCGGAGTTGCTAATCGACTCTTGCCACTCCATTTGAAGACAGCGTTGATGCTGAGTTATTCTACATTGACTGTGAAACGACCTTGGTATTTGGTTATAAATATGAGAAAAAATATTTTTTTAATTAGTTTTTGGGTTTAGAAAAATAATAACATCCAACATTTGATTTCCTGTTAAAAAAACTAGGAATTTTAAAAAAAATTGTTGATAAAATCTAGTCATTTTGTTTATTGTTATTATTAGAATTCATATTTGGGATAATAACTTTAATGCTTTTTATGTGTATTTTTTAGTTGAATTAGAAAAAAAAAAAAAAAAAAAACCTTGTATTTGATATTGTAAAAGAGTTTGAATAGACTGCGGTTTTGTGGTTTTTCTTGACCTTGGGACGTTTCACGTAAAAATTTGTGGTTAATTATGGTTGTGTGTTTATTTATTCCAACATTAATTATTATTAATTAATCTGTTTTAATTTTAATTGCACAAAGAGAGAATTTGTGATTTTAATTCGTACATGTATATTTTCCAGCAAATTTCAATAATCCAAAAACAAAAATATTAAGTTCTAGATATCTCTTAGTTTGTTGCGTTGTTAATTTGTTATAATATTCTCACAATTAAAAATTTTCCTAATTAATTGCTGTTAGGTAACATACATAGAGATACAAATCTAACTAAATAATTTTAATGTTATTTTATTTAAAAATATCTTATTTTCTCATCAATCTTTTTATATTATTACTTATTTTTATCTTTTTTTTTAATGTCATAGAACAAAAATGATTAAGCCATTAATAGATTTAGATATAAATGAACTAATTAATTAGTTTTGAAACTATAGAGATTATTTACTTTGTTGTATAAAAACTAGAGAAACTATTTGTGACTCACTCACCCAAACTATTTTTAATATTTTTTTTATAATTTATAAAATTAGGCAGAGTTAACCCTTAATTATGCTCATTTTAATTTATAATTTTTTTAAAATGCCCAAAATTATATATTGTTTAATTATGTTTTTTTACAATAATATTTTATAAACAAAGTTCAAAATTAAGGAGTTAAAAATATTTATAATATTTTATAAGAAAAACAGTTAAATTTTTTTTTCAAGAAGAGGAGGTTTAAAATATTTTTAAAAAAACATAATTAATAATACAATGTTAGAACGACGTCGTTTGTCATTCCAAGTAGTTAATTGTTACACATAATGGAGATTGAGTGATTTGGATCATATTTATCCAATCTTCAATATTTTATATTTTAAATTATATAATTTAATATTATGGGTATGAAATTATAAAATCAGAGTAAAATGAGTGCAAAATTTGCTGCTAAAACCATTTAAATAGACACCACATGCTTTGAAAGAGACATCAGCGGCTATGGCCTGAAGCCCTGAACCTTTCATGGGCCATGGGGGTAGGACGTGTGACCTCAAATCTCAAGACATATGCTTGAGGCACACAAAAATGCACTGGCGATTTTTAAGAAAATCTGATCGGCTTGGAGTTTTTGACCTGTCCCTTTCCTTCCCTGATACAGCTATAGCTGGACCACAGTGTGAGTCTGAAAGAACGAAAATCAAATGGGCTCAAGCCCAGTGAGCTGCACCAGTTGCAGGTGTAGCGAATAGACTGGTACCTTAACATAGATCATATATGTGTTTGCTCATTCCATGATCTTCCAAGTACTTTTCTGCCTTTGAAATGTTAAAAAAATATATATAAAAAATAAACAGTTTAACCTGCTCCTATATGAGTTTTCCATATATTTTTATATTTTTAATTGTATTTATTGTATTTCAGAATAATGTTTAAGTTTTTAATCTATTTTTACAAACCATTTTTTAGACCATAGACAAATTTTTTGATGGAAATGAAATAATAATAATAAAATGACTTGATATGCATTTTCTAATTTTTAATTATTTATTTATTCAATATATTTCATTCAGAAACATTTTGATTAAAAATTTATTAATTTTTAAAATAGACGTCATGTTGTGCAAAAAATTAAAGTGACATGATACGCATATTTTAATTTTTAAATATTTATTTATTTATTGTATTTTAGTAAGAAATATTTTGATTAAAAAAAAATTACTCGAGAAGATAGACAGCAAGTTGTCCCTTGCCATCTATTACTTTCTAGCAAAGGTTACCAAACAATTATACGTTCTTTTATTCCCCAAAAAGATCCACCATTCAAGGCAAGAATTATGCATTTCTTTTAATGTTTGAATACATCGCCAGCTGTTTGAGCTCAAGTTCGTATATTCTTCTTGCCTACGCACATTCTTCATCATGCAAAGCCGTTTCCTCCACGACTTAATTACATTTTTGGTGTATAAATTTATTAATATATTTTAGGGATAATTACTATAAAAACCTTATAAAAAAATTTTTTATCTAAAAAATCCATAAATTTATTTTTAAATCTCTCAAACCCAAAATAATATTTTTCTTACCAAAAACACCTAATAATTAACTCTAGTATTAACTATTAGTTGTTTTGATAAGAAAAATATTGTTTTAGGCTTGTGAGATTTAAAAATATTACTTTGTGTTTGGGAGATTTAAAAATAAAATAGTGAATTTTTTATATTGAAGATTTCTTAGAAGGTATTCTGGTAATTATCCCTAGTTTAAATGAAACCATTATCTTTCAAGATATGTATTTCTATCATGGTTGATCATGTTTTATTTAATTAATACACTAAAATATGTTATACATTTATCTTGTAATTTAATTTAATTTAATTGTTTGATAAAAAATATTAAGTTTTGATTAATTAAAAACTAGTATTACCGATGATGCTTTTTTTTTTCCATCAATATGTTAGGATTTAAGAAATCATTAATGTTCGTAATCATACATATTTTATTTTTCGTATTTGTATGATAACCTTTTGATTAAATTACTAGAGAATGACAAAAGTCTTATTTCATGAATATTAATTAGTTAAATTATCTCTCGTTGCTATAGTTACTAGATAGTAAAATTAATCTCGTAATTAATGAAACAAACGATCGATAAAAAAATCTAATATAAGAAATTTTTTAGTATAATAAAAAAAGTAGTTAAATGTTAGCGTTTAAAAGTCAAGGAACTTCAAAAACTTTTTTTTTGCCTTTCGAATGCAATAGAAAAGAACTTGACTTGATCATGAAAATAAATAAATAAATATCAAACTCATTAAAAACTATGAAATGGGTTTATTATTAATTAGATAAAAACTATAAAAAAAAACTCTCAAAAAATTCTATCTAAAAAATACATCAATTTATTTTTTAAATCTCTCAAAACTAAAAATAAAAAAAAATTCTTATCAAAAGATTAAATAATTAAAAGTTAGAGGTTAACTATTGGATGTTTTGGAAAAATATTTTTTTGGATTTGAGAGATTTAAGAATAAATTAATGAGTTTCTTAGATATAAGATTTTTTTAGAAGATTTTTCTTATAATTCTCCCCATATTTTATTTCAATGCGTAAGTTTTTAATCTTTGCTATTTAATCGTGTCAATTTGTATTTTTTTCTATTTAGGCAGCCGTTAACCATAGAAGTGACATCATCACAAGAGTCTCACTGTCAGACAAATGGCAAAACAAGAAAAAAAAATTAAAAACTATATTCAAAGCCACAACATACGCCTCTTTTTTTGTTCATTTTTATTTTTTTCTTATTGTCACGTATCTGACAATAGAGCTCATATGATAATCAATGGACATGTCAGTATAGAGTTAATGAAACAATTAAAATAGAAAAAAAATTATACATTAGTATATTAAAATAAAAAAAAATTAAAGTTTACATGATAAAAAAAAAACAAATTTATTTACCAAAAATGTAATTAACTGTCGATGCCCTTTATTAGCATAAGAAAACATACCAAAGCAGCAACCACCCAACAAAAACATCAACACACAAGAAAACGATAACTTGTCAAATCCACACAAAGAGCAAAGAGCCTACCTACTTACCATTCTCGTGAAAAAATAATAATAATAATTTTTTTTGCAGCCAGCATGAAATCACAAGCTGGGTTGTTAGATTGCCTATTTTAGTTCACACCCAACTCAACTACCAAAATTCTCAAATCCTTTACAATTGAATCCATAACTTGCACCTAAACAACACAGCCAAACCAAACCCTTTTAACCAACCAGCTTTCATTGCACAAACCCCATTTTCATTTTTGTTAGTTTAACAATCAAGCATTCTCGAGAATATTCTCGTATCAGCTTTCGCATATTAGATTCATGATTTTCACACGTTTAGATTAAACTCTTATTGGATCAAATTTTAGTCGAACCACGAAAACCACACGATATATCAAACCCTTGCCTAAATGATACTAAAACATTATGTATTTTCAATCATACTAAAATAGATTTTTAAATTTTAATTTGACTATCATAAACTATTTCTTAATAAATAATAAATTTCTATATTCAATTTTTATTTTTGCAACCATGATTTCTTAATAAAACTAATTTATTAAAATTTAAACCTAACCTATTTTTTAACATTTTATAATTTTTTTATTCAGACATTTGAAACTCTTAATAAAACTAATTTGTTAAAATTTAAACATGATTTTATTTACAAGAAACCACTATCACTAGACTACGTACTCTTTCATCAATATCGACGTCACGGATGTTAAAAAGGTACATGTCCTATTAATCTAAATTTATTAATCTAAATTTAAAATATAAGGCATGTATGTGCCATCAATACCCAAAAATTAATTGTAATCTATTATAATTTTTAAAGGTAAGAAGCTTATTTCAATTTACCGAAAATTTATGATGCTTTCGCTTTTGAATCATTTAGCAAAAACGTAATCACTTTTTCCTCCTCTTTTAACCATCATTTCACATACAGCTAATCTCCAACTTTGCAACATAAAATCCCATTTGACAACTCATAAACACAACCCAACTCACAGGTGAACACTGCACATGGACAACAAATTCATCCCAGGAAAGATACTAGTAACCCAACATATATATATATATATATATATATATATATATATATGAAGCAAGATCCATTAATTTTATATCAAATTAAGAAAAAGAAAATGCATGTCAGATACAGAAAATTAAAAAAATAAATAAAAATTCCAAAACAACAAGAGTACATTGACATTACCTTGGAGTTTTGGTTACAACCAAACATCAAATGAAGAAGAACCCAGAGTACTAAATTAACATCATTCCCGAAAATAAAAATTATAGAAAAAGAAACTCTTTTTTTTCCTCTTTAATCACATCTTAATCCCTCAAAATAACAAAAATAGCAACATTAATTGACGATTAACTCTATAATTATCTGTGAGCTGTTACAAGGGTCTCAATGAACCTTAACCCATCAAATCTTGGCGCGAATTTCTCCTGATTAGACCCACTATTTTTCTCCATTGATGATGATCTTGATGAATCCTTCACACCCCCGAAAAACAAAATCAACGGTTAGGATTCACATAAAGTATTACACTATTTTCTTCATAAAAAAAAGGACAAAAATACCTCAACCACAGGCGAAGAAGAAGATGGGGTTGATGAAGATAAAGCTACAGTGGAGGCAGCAACAACAGAGGCAACAAGAGTGCACGAACCCTTCATGTTTTCTCGATGGCTTTTTCCTTCTGTTCTGGGACTTTAGTAAAGAAGAGATTTTAAAGCTTCAAATGGGCGAAACCCGACGAGGCGTTCTCGCCGGATCTCGACCACAACCGAACGTGGAAATTTTCTTTTTGAGTTCTGTTACCTTCGTTTTCAATGTTTTCGCCTTTTTATATCACGGTGGAGGGTTTCCGAAATTAATGGAATTTAATTCTGCTTTAAGTTCCGCCTCACGTGGATTTTTAATGCAATTTTTTCAATGTACGTTCCAGGATCCATGGATTGTCTACGTGGCACAACAGAGATCTCTAATAGAGTTGATTATATTGTTGACCTTTTTGATTGGCTGGTTAAGGGTGATTCGGGTGAGGTGTGCAGTGTGATGAGGTGGGTTGGCAAGTTGGTTAGTGATAAATGGGGAGGGTGGCTTTGATTGAAGAGAAAGGTTGGTGACATGAAGATGTTGGGAATTGGAAAGAGGTGGTGGTTTTGCTTAAGCTCGATGCCGTTCCAATCGTGTCATAAATGGGCTTTCTATATGGTTGGTCCCTATACAACTAGAAAATGATCAATTGAGTCCTTCTACTGCCAATATAAAGTCCCATTGATAGAACCAAAATTAAAAATTAAAAAGCATGATTCGAGAAAAAAAAAGTAGGATAGAACCAAATTCTTTGGTTTCTTGTTAATTAAATCGTGCTTAAGTATATCCTAGGGGGAAATTTTTCAAACCATAGACGCGTAATAGGAAATTTAGGTTGCCCTAATTAGGTATAAGAGTTAGCAAACATACTTGCAGAGAGTTCATGAAGGAAGTTTCCTAAGCAATTCAGGAATATTGCGACAAAGAGTGTTTGACAAGAAATAAAAGACTTTTCAAGTACATGACCGCCCTTGATTTTAACTCCCCTGCAACAAGTACTTTTTCTTTTCGGACATGGTACTTTCTATATAAGGATCCATAATTCCAACCTTTTGTCACCCACTAATTTTGTTTCGAGAACCTGAAAATTGTGCTTTTTGAGACGCAGTATGTCGTCTGTTTTTTGTTCAGAAAGTGCAATTTGTGCTGATTACTTCGGGGATAAATATGGGGTGCCTCTGCCCTCTTCCATGATCCAGAAGATCACAAGAATTGGCAAAGCAAAGGAGTTAGAGGATTCAAAAAAGATAGGTCAATCTGCAAGCAAGAACAAGAATGGTGACAATAAAGAGCAACATGGTCCCCCCCCTCCCCCCAAGCACTTAGAGATGGTAATTTGCCCCATCCTGTCGTCGCCTCATTCCGTTTGGGACGAAGATGATAGTAAAAATTTCGTTTCGAACGGAACGAGAGATGGGGAAAATTGTTTTAGGGCGAGACGGGGACGGGCCGCTCCATCATTTTGCCTTTAAAAATAACAATTTGATGGGGCCTCATCTCGTCCCGTTTAGGATCGGAATAGTAGTCAAATTTTCATTCCAAACGGGACACGGTACGAGGATGAGGCAAATTTTTTTAAGAGCGAGCCGGGGCGCGGATGACTATCCCCGCCCCGCTCCATTGCCATTCCTACTAGCACTTGGTACCTTCTTGAATGAACTACACATATTCTTTGAGAATAATTTGTAGTTTTGTAAAAGAGAGACACAACGAGCATAGTTTTAGTCTCGCTCACTAATTGTTTTTAACTCGTTTTTCCCTTTAATTGGATTCAAATTTTTATGGAATTTTAATTTTGCATGTTTTACTAGGGGTGATCATTCGGTTAAACGGTTCGATTTTGTACGATTCAATTCGATTTTCGATTAACCGAATTAAGAAAAATAAAAACCGAAACCAAACCGAAATAAATTCGGTTTGTAACCGAATTATTTTGGTTTGGTTTCGAAATATTTTGGTTTTAATCGAAATATTTTGCTATAAAAAAAATTATTACGAGAGAGATGTTTTGTACTAGCACTTAGTCCACTAGCCAATGAAGTAACATCTTGTTATCAATTAATCTTTTTTATAGACCCTTGAAGATTTTAACTAGGCTTTAATGAAACCCGAGTCCAAGTGTAATTGATTTGTCATTCAAACACATTGTATCCTAATTAATTACACCGTGCCACTTTCTTTTCTTACCCCAACGGTCCTCAAAATTTGCTTCCCATCTTTTGCTTTACAACCCATTTAGGCATTTAGTACCACAAAAATTAAATGAGCACTAAATTCACCAACATCTCTGCCTCCTCCATCTCGTCGTCTAGTAGAAAGTGCGATAATGACAATGTTGTCCGAGCATCCTTTTTTATCTTGCCACGTCATATTGCCTTTTCATTTTATTTACTTTCTGCTAACATGGCAAGATCAAAAGCATTTACTACACCTTAAGAATAAAATACACAAATAAAAAAGAGTCACCGTAATGTAATACCGATAAAAACTATTTTATATTAATTACTTCGACAACCGATCGGTAACATTTTCTCCATTTTTTTTGTGGTTCGGAATACTAACTATGAATTTCTATAGTAACAAAGGACATCGTATTCTCACTAGAATCACCTAAAACGAAATTATCTTCATTTTCAATCTTTGAGTTCTTACGTGATTGATTTCCATCATGAGAAGGAGAAGGCGAAGGAATATAATAATGCCGAGGAGATGTACACGAGTGTCCGGAACGACGTCGTTACACCATCAACCTCAACATCGACAACCACATCATTAGCAACAACTACCTTTTCAAAACAAACATTACTCGTTGCTCATTTTTCTCTTCTTACTTTTAACAAGCTCGTTCTCTATAGACGATGCATCGTTCTCGAGTACCTCCAGTTCCTCCCTATCCTCTTCCTTAATAGCAAACAAAACTTTCGATGGTCCCTACATCCCTTGCAACTTCAACATCTCCTCTACCAACGCATCCGTGCCATCTGCGAAGCCGGCGAAGCCACCATGGATGTCGTTGGGTCCGTTGTCGAGTTAGGTTCGACTTGAGTCATTTGGTTTTTATAGCAAAAGAAGTAGAGAAGTTCTTTAGACGACGTCAAGTAGATTGAATCAAAACTACTAATGAATTCTCCGTCAATAGAGGAGCTTGGAGGGAATGAGGGACATAAGAACCGAAGGAGAATTGGAGAGTGAATATTGGAGAACCAAGGAATGAAGCCGAAAAAGTTAGGGAAAAATGGAAGCAAGAAGGAGAACCGGAGATTCATGCCTACGTGTTTCGGTTTCGGTAAGAATGAAGATTAAAAAGTTAGGGATTTAGAAATTAGAAAATTTTTTACTATTTATTTTGGTTTTCGATCGAAATAGAATTTTTTTTCTAAAAACCGAACCGAATCGAAAAATTTTTGGTTTTTTCGATTCGGTTTTATATTGTATAATTTTACATTTAAAATCGAACCAAATTTCATAATTCGGTTTGATTTTTGGTTAACCGAATCGTTTGCTCACCCCTATGTGTTGATAAAAATTGGATTTACTTGGATTTATTTGGTTTAAGAGACCGACAAATGATCGCCAAAAGATTAAAAATGTTATGCTCGTTAAATTAATCGGAAAAGTGATAGATTAATGTCTACCGATTCTTAAGCCGATCTAAAAATATCCACTATATAAAAATATATAAAAAAATTATAATTAAGTTTTGAAAATACGGACACTCTAATAAAAATAATAAAAAAAATCAATACCCACTATTGTCTACATTAAACTCAAGATTTAATCATGCCCTGTTTTGATTGGTGATTAGACATTAAAAAGTACAAGGTAAATTTTAAAAACTTATGCAAATTGAGCAAGAAAAACAATTTACTGCTGACCATTTCGGGGTGTGAGGATTGTATAGGTTTTCCACATCACTTGGCTTGTAAATTCAGGTTGTCATGTATGGGGAAAGCAAGCATGGAACATAGGTGACTTGTCTAGGAACAATTGATAGCATTTTATTATAGTGGATTATCTCAAAATTAGTTCCGTGATTTTTTCTTCTATGATAACAATGACTTTTCATGTAAATTTGATTTTTTTTTTTTTGTAATTATGCTCTTTTGATTAATTTATTTTATAGTTTTTATTAGATTTTTTATACGCACTACCCCAGGAGTCGAACAAAATACATAAAATTATTTTAAAAAATTATTTCATTTTGATATCTTGTGTTATATTGTATGTCTATTAAAATATATCAAATTTTATATTTGACTAATTATTTTTTATATTTTTCTTAATTTTTTTATAAAAAAATTATTTAACGATATAAAAAAAAGTTAAAACCAATAGATTTTTAGCTAATTTTATAATTTTTTTAAACATTTTTTTCTTAAAATTTTTAATTAAAAAACATCAAAGAAAAAAAGAACCAAATTGACAAAAACAAAACAAAAAAGATGGATCGAAACCAAACAAAAAATATGTTATGGATTGAAAAAATCATATTTAAAAAAGAAGGACCAAAATGCAATGTTAGTAAAACTTTCATTATAAATATATTAAAAATGTTTAAAAACTACAAAAATATCACTATATAGTGAAAAGAATAATGCTTTTGATTGTTTATGAATGACTAAATGAGTGTGGATCAATAGTATTTTAAATAATAAATGAATTGTAAAACCAATGGTTTTACTTTAGTTTTATTTATAATTATTTTATGTGTTTAATTTTATTATTTTCTCACAAAATCAAATTTATATATATAGAATGAAATTAAATTCCCAACGTATGTAAATCCTCCATAATTATTTTAATCAAAATCAAACAACATGGTTCATAACACAGACACATGAATATCCATGCACGAGTTTTTAATTGAAATTCAATATTACATCAATTTCAAGAGATTATAGATTTAATATTTTCTTTGAAGTATTTGACTCGAAAATAGCTCCATTCTAAGAGGCAGTCAAAGTAACCTTTTATTTTTATAGTAATAGCCAATTCAGTTTGTTGTGGTAATACGACTACCTTTCCTGCTTCACTAAATAACTACTAATGTTAATCCCTAATATCTAGCAAGTGAGTGAGATGCAAGGTACCTACCTATGGCAAAAAAAAATAAAAATAAAATAATAATAATAATAAAAAAAAAACATTAAAATGACTGATAGATTTATTAGACAAATGACAACATATGTTAATTGTAGGTGACTTAATTACCAAGGAAATTTAGGGTATAACTGTTTCTTTTTATCTTTTTTTTTTTTTTTTTTTAGCGTATACTTGCTCGTAGCAGTTAGGGCACAGAGTTCGCCCGGGGAAGTTTCATTCAATGTAACTTCCTAGAGTCGGAAAAGAAAAAGACTTCTCTCTCAAGTAGCTGACCTCCCTTAGTTCCAAGGATCTTGCAAACAAATCTTTTTCCTTTTCAAACTTGGAATTAATTACCGTCTGATTAGTATAACAAGGCCCTCTAATCCCACTCTTTTGTCACGCACACAGAATTTTCGTTTCAAAAACTTGGCTATTTATTTATAGCTTTTTGCGACGCAATGTCTTCTGCTTTCGAAGGAGTTGGAAACGAAAAGAAGTTGGAGAATTCAACGAAGACAGATCAACCCATTTGCAAGAACAACAAGAATAATGATGGCAATAAGCCATCAACAACGACAATGTCAAGGGGTAATAATAACGAGCAGCAACGTGTGCCGCCAGCACTTGCACCCTTCATGGATACTTTATCCATCTTTGAAACGATGGCTCTTTGAATGATTTCTAGCATAAGACTTGAAAATAGTTTTAGTCTTAACTGAATTTTCTTTTCCTTTTTGTTTAAGATTTTTGTGGAATTTGAATTTGTTTATTCTTTAAATTAAGGAATTTAGATTTGCAGTTTTTGAATTCCTTGTTGGTTGATTAATATTAATATTTTTTTCCTTGCAAATTGTCTTTTAGCTGTGGATCAAGAGAGGGAGCTCAAACCTCTACAACTGCTAGACCATTGTTAAAAAAAAAAAAAAAAATCAACATGTTTTGATTCTTCAAATTACAAATTTTTCCAGGTATTTTTTTGCTCATTGATCGGTTTCAATAAATAATAAGAATAAATGCAGAAGAAATTGGACCAATTTTACGTCCTTTGTTTTGGATAAACATATATTTTTTATAATTAGAAAGATACATGAAAAATTTATTCCTTTCTTCATTAATTATCTGAGATGTCCATTGAAAAACGAAATTCATTAGCTGTTAACTTTACAGTTGAGGCTTATGAGCTTTGGACTCTATCTATCTATCTATACATAGACATAGATAGACATAGGAATAGATCGAGTTGATTGAATTAGTTGCGTATGGAAGACTTTCTCCATTCGATAAGTATCTATACTGGACCTTATCCAGGTTCTTGTTCTTTTTTAATCAATTTTTACCAATATAAAATCTAAAATTGAAAACAAATTATATTTCCATTTGTGAATTATAAAATTATAAAATAGATTTTAAACTTTAAACCTTCGTAGAAAATTCTAAACATCCTCGATGATCGATTATTATTTATTATACTATTTAAAATACTATTCATTCGGATTCATTCATACTATTTATCAAAATTTATATGTATTATTCATTTCATTATACGAGTGATATTTTTATAATTTTTAAAATATTTTAAAAGGTATTTATTATGAAAGTTTTTATAATATTACACTTTAATCTTTTTTTTTAACATTGGGTTATGAGGATTGCTACAAATTTTTTAAAAATATTTATTATAAAAGTTTTTATAACATTACACTTTAATCTTTTTTTGAAACATTAGTTTTTTTTTTGTTTCTATCTATCTCTCAATCCAAGAATGGAGCAAATTCAGAGGTCTCCTTCTGTTCAAAGGCCAGTTCAACCAGTCTAATGTTAGTAGGCTAATTTGCTATTCCTAAGGGGTTATGAAATTTCTGTCCTGACTCAATCAAAAAATTCTAGCAGGGCCAAAAGGTAAATGTAAGAAAAATGGCAGGTCCTATCAAAATACAAACAAATTTAAAGAGTAAATTATAAATTAGTCCTTCTCACTTCAATAAATGAATTAATTAATCCTTTAGTAATTTATAATTATTTAATCCTTTTAATTAGTATTGAACACATATTCGAGTGAATGCGAAATCTGCTATAATCAAGTGAATTCAGATGGGGAACATACTCATTGCATTCACAAAATGCGAGTTTAATGAAATATGAGATTCGAAAACAGAGGCAAGTTCTGGATTCGTTAGGATTTTGGAGTAATTTTCAAGGACTCCTTCGGCTATATAATGCTTAGGAATAATTCTCAAGGAGGACCCAGTATCTAAAGCCAGATATTCTTCTTTTCAGCATTGGCAAGATTCCGAAGAAAAAACGCCGAAAGGAAGGATTTTCTCTGTTTCTTTCTTGGACTACTCCAATCTCTGTAAAGTCAAAACCATCTGGAAGATAAAGAAGGAAATGAAACCCAGTCCATGGATCACAACAAAAGAAAGAGAATAATTTGTTGTTTTTGAGACATCTATAAAAATATATTCCCAGATTGATGATGATAGGTTTTTTCAAGACTAAAATTAGTGAGACTTGAGTTGGGTGTGAGCTTGCTTTCCACGGGAAAGATGGTAAATAACGACAAATATTATAATACATCGGGAGTAATAAATGCATACGCATGTAGTTATTTCATGGACCTATTTCGAGAAGAGAGATAGACATACAAAAAAAGAGAGAAAATAAAAAAATTTGAACGGACGTGAAAATTTTCTTAAGACTTTTGATGAGTATAGATGTAATTTTTATCTTTTTTTATATATCTATCTCTCTCGCTCAAAGTAAATTCATGGAGTAACTACTGTACATACTACTAATTACTCCTTATGTATTATAAAATTTCTTGGTAAATATCCACAAAAAAATGGTTTGCTAAGGATACAGGAAAAAAAAATTATTTCAATGAAGGAAAGTTGTCTCAACAATAAAAAAATTGGTAACAATGAAAATTTAAAAATGTCGATCTAACAATGCTAAAAGTTTGGTACATATGGAACATTTTAACATGTTTATGATAATAAATTTATAATCAACAAATTCATATATTAACCGTTACATTAACAAATATATTAATATAGTTATTTACAGATTAACATATAATGTGAACATATATATATTAACATAGAAAATAAAATATTGATTTTTTGACCATCACATCGGCCATCCACTTGCTATAAACAAACCAATCCTCGACCGTTGAAAGTGGCAAGGGCATGTTTTCATATTTTTATATTTTCAAGTCAAAATGAAAATTTGTATTTAGACCACTTTGGATGAGACAAGTATCCCTTCAAAATATCAGTACGGTTAAATTCATAATTAAATTGTTATTTTCTTCAATTTTTTCAGATAATTATCAATACATTTTTCATTTTTTTAGATAATTATAGATACATCCTCTATCAATACCTATTTTTTTCAGATAATTATCAATATATCTTCCACCAAATTGATAATTATATGAAAAAAAATAACCAAGATAATAATTTAATTAATAAATTTAATAACATCCCATATATATATATATATATATATATATATATATATATACACACACACACGATCTCTTGGATTGCAATCAATCAACAAACATGTTACAATCATGGTTGTGACCTTTTCCGCATGGAAATTGAAAGATGGTTGATGTCCAAAAAATAGTTTGCCGAGGATTCAGGAAAAAGAAAAAAGAAAAAAATCAATGGAGGAAAGTCGTCTAATTTTGTTAGACGACTGCTGCTATTTTGTTACCGAACATTTGAGTAAGGTATAAATTAATCCTCTAATTTTAAGAAACAAATTAATTAGTTTTTTTCATTTAAAAAATTATAATTTTATTTTTTTTATCAATGTTAATTATATTTATTTTTATTTCATAAAATATATTTTTTCATCATTCTTTTTATATTTTTTTCTTTTTAATTTTTTTAAAATAAAAAATTAAAATAAATTAAAAAAGCAAAATTAGAAATATATTTAAAAATATAAAAACTAAATAATTAGTTTTTAAAACAAAATAAACTATAAATTTATTTATCAAAACGAGAGAGATTAATTTATGATTTACTTCAAAATATTTTTACATTTTTATAATATATAGTAATCAGCAAATCAACAAATTGACCTTTGACAAAAAAAAAAAAAAAACAACAACAACAACAACAACAATATAATAAACAAAATAATCCTCAACCGTTGAAAGTGGCCAAAGCATGTTTTCCAAGTCAAAAGAAAAATCTGAGAATGGAGACTAAGTCTAGCTAAGCATCTCCAATTCCCAGGCTCGTAAACATGCTTTGACAAGACAATGTAGGCGGCGCCCCTTCGATCGTTGAACATGGTCACACAATGTCTTGTAGGCTCCACAAGAAGCCGTCATTACCGCTTCTTAGTTCTTACACGCTTTTGAACCCTGATCCGACAAGGAAAAAGAAACAACTTGGAAGCAAAGCCAAGCAGCCAACCTTTCCTGATTTCCATAGGAATTCAAGATACTTTCTTTATATATATTAGCTTTTCTTGAAATTGTTACTCATCAAATACAGAGACGTTACAAAAAAGCAAACTAGAAACTTGCTCTCTAGCTTTCAAACGGTCTTCTACTACTTCTTGAGATTTGAGGGGTGATCAAGATTTCCTTGAAGAGATCATGAATTCTATGTTCAGTTCTTTTGATGCTTTGAGTGCTGAGTCCTTGGGCCTGAAATTGAGGTCCCCTTTTGCGCTTGCAACTATGGATTGTAATAGCAAGAGGGTTTTGAATGGTAGTGGTAACACTAAGGTGGCAGAAGATAAGTTGATCAAGAATCAAGAAGGAAGCTCCTCAAGATCGTTGACCAGGAAACAGGGGAAGAAGATGCCAAGGTTTGCACCAGAGCTTGATGGGCTCAACTGTTTTGAGACCATTGTTAACTACTGAGATCGTGACATGACACAAAGAAGTTGTGTTTTAGTTATAGGGATTAGTAGAAAAAAGAAAAAGATAGGAATTATTCTTTGATAGATCTATATATCTGAAGTGATGATAGTAATGTTAAAATCTAATTATAGTATTCTTTTCTATGACTAATATTCTTTTTGTCCATCTTGATGATCTTATCTCAGTTTCTTGAACTAATTTTGATATTTCTTTAATCGGTGAATTGATGGATTAAATTCTCAAATCATACTCAGAGAGTCATGATTTTTGGGTGCTAGCAAATCATGGCAATTATGTTACTTCTGCTACTTTCAAGTTTTATCAGAGCCAAGATCCCCTGTATCTTGCAGCTCTGATTTCACTGTCTATGGAGTTTACACCCTCAATAAGAGAACAGTAAGGAGAAGTTCAATTAGCATGATGGTCAACCTAAATTCAGATAACAACTTAATCCTAGGCTTAAAATTCTACTCCGGTCACCAAGTTGAAACCACCAAAGCTCCAATTTGCTAGCAAATTCTCTTTATTGATACATCCCTAGGATAACTTTCACTCTATACAGTTATGTTGCTCTGCTGAATCACTCCTACCTCACATAAATTTTGTCAAATTTGCCTAATTTCCTTACTTGTTATGATGATATAAACAAGAATCAAGTTTAATATATTTTTATATAATAGTTTGAATATTTACTTTATTCTTACAATTTCAATTATATTTATTATGTTCTTAAATATTGTTTTAGTTATCAATATATTATTCGGATTAATTTTTTCGATCATTATAAATTTTTTTTATTGAAATGTGGTTGAATGAAATGTTAAAAAAAAACACACACACACACACTTAAAAGTCACTTGACGTGTCCGTTTAATTTTTAAAGTCTTTAGATTTTTTTTTCACATTTCAATAAAAAAATTATTCATAATAAAAAAAAATTAAACGGAAATACATTTGAAAATTTAAGCATTATTCAAAAATATAATAAATATTTATTCTATTTAGATGTTTTAGTGAATACTAATTTTTTTACTTACGTTATGTTATGGAACGGATAAAATACATAAATTTACTTTTAAAAATTATTTTAATTTGATATTTTGTATCATACTGTACATCTATCAAAATATACTAAATCAAAACTGAATAAAAATTCATTTAATTTTATAATTTTTAATCAAAATTTTATATTGGACTAATTATTTTATATATTTTCATAAATTTTTTATTATAAAATATTATTTATTTATCTCTTTTTATATTTTTAATTAAAAAATTATTTTTAAATTATTTTTAAAAAACATTTTTTTATTATAAAATTTTTAATTAAAAAAAATTAGGAAAAAAGCAAGAATCAAAATGGCAAAAAAAAAAAAAAAAAGGTCCAAAATAAAACTTAAAAATTTGCAGATCCAAAAATAATGGTCACATGGTGTCTTGTAGGCTCCACGAGAAGCCGTCCTGACCGCTTCTTAGTTCTTACACGCTTTTGGACCCTGATCCGACCAGGAAAAAGAAACAACTTGGAGGTTAAAAAGCAAAGCCAGGCAGCCAACCTTTTCTGATTTCCAAAGGAATTCAAGATTCTTTCTTTATATCTATTAGCTTTTCTTGAAATTGTTACTCATCAAATACAGAGACGTAACAAAAAAGCAAACTAGAAACTTGCTCTCTAGCTTTCAAACGGTCTTCTACTACTTCCTGAGATTTGGGGTGATCAAGATTTCCTTGAAGAGATCATGAATTCTATGTTCAGTTCTTTTGATGCTTTGAGTGCTGAGTTCTTGGGCCTGAAAGTGAGGTCCTCTTTTGCTCTTGCAACTATGGATTGTAATAGCAAGAGGGTTTTGAATGGTAGTGGTAATAGTAAGGTGGCAGAAGATAAGTTGATCAAGAATCAAGAAGGAAGCTCCACAAGATCGTTTACCAGGAAACAGGAGAAGAAGATGCCAAGGTTTGCACCAGAGCTTGATGGGCTCAACTGTTTTGAGACCATTGTTAACTACTGAGATCGTGACATGACACAAAGAAGTTGTGTTTTAGTTATAGGGATTAGTAGAAAAAAGAAAAAGATAGGAATTATTCTTTGATAGATCTATATATCTGAAGTGATGATAGTAATGTTATAATCTAATTCTAGTAATCTTTTCTGTGACTAATATTCTTTTTGTCCATCTTGACGATCATATCTCAATTTCTTTAACTAATTTTGATAGTTCCTTGATTGGTGAATTGATGGATTAAATTCTCAAATCATACTCAGAGAGTCCTGATTTTTGGGTGCTAGCAAATCATGGCAATTATGTTACTTCTGCTACTTTCAAGTTTTATCAGAGCCAAGATCCCCTGTATCTTGCAGCTCTAATTCCCCTGTCTATGGTGTTTACACCCTCAATGAGAGAACAGTAAGGAGAAGTTCAATTAGCATGATGGTCAATCTAAATTCAGATTAACAACTTAATCCCAGGCTTAAAATTCTATTATGGTCGCCAAGTTGAAACCACCAAGGCTCCAATTTTGTAGCAAATTCTATTTACCAATGCATCCCTGGATAACTTTCACTCTATGTACTTTACCCTGTTGAATCACTCCTCCATGACATGAATTTTGTCAAATTTGCCTAATTTCCTAACTTGTTATGATGATATAAACAAGAATCATGACAATCATGGTTAGCCTCAAGTATTTAGATGGGATAAACAGTTTAATCTATTTTTATATAACATTTTTACATTTTTAATTACATTTATTATTATGTTCTTAAATATTGTTTTAGTCTTCAATTTATTATTTGGATCAATTTTTTTAATTATGACAAATTTTTTTACTGAAATGCAAAAAAAAAAAAAAAAATGCAAAAAAAAAATTTTTTGCATTTCAGTTTTTTTTTTTGATTAAAAAAATTGTTCATAATAAAAAAAATTGATTGAAAATACATATTGACAATTTAAGTATTATTCAAAAATATAATAAATGTTTATTTTATTTAGATGTTTTAGTGACTAATAGTTTTTTTTACTCGTATTACACTCGCGGATAAAATACATAAAATTATTTTTAATAATTATTTTAATTTGATGTCTTGTGTTATATTTTGTGTTTATCAAAATATATCAAATCAAAACTGAATAAAAATTCATTCGATTTTATAATTTTTTAATCAAAATTTTATGTTTAAGTAATTATTCTTTATATTTTCATAAAAATTTTTATTAAAAAAATGTTATTTATTTATCTCTATCTATATTTTTAATTAAAAAATTATTTTGTAAATTATTTTATTTCTAAACATCTTTTTTCCTTAAAATTTTTAATTAAAAAAATCAATGAAAAAAAGGATAAAAGTGAACAAAATGAAACAAAAAAGAGATCAAAATAAAACTTAAAAATTTTTAGATCGAATTTTTTTTAAAAAAAAGACAGACTAATATGTAATATCATAAAAACTTTCATAATAAATATTTTTAAAAAGTTTGAAAACTACAAAAAAAGCTATTACATAATGAAATAAATAGTATATATAAATGCACGTAAACAGTATATGTGAATGTGAACGTGAATGAATAGCATTTGTAACAGTAAAACGAATAATAAACTTACACTTTGGTTTAGGTCAAAGCTAGTATCAAAACCCTAGAGAGTTCATCACAAGTAAGGCTAAGCGTATAGTGAGCCCATATGATTTAGTGCCACAACTAGATACAAATGGTAAGATTTAGTGCACCAATCAAATTGAATGCTTTAGTTTAAAAAACCATTTTTGTACAAAAATTTCTCTTCCATGGTTGCCTTTTCCATCACTCCATTAATTAAAATTTACTATTTTTCTTGTTCCTTATTGCTTGTATTGCAATTTGCAATTAGTGGAATTTGTAGGCTTTCTCTAGCTCCTATGGCCTTTGGAATTGGCCCTCATGGAAGTTACCACATGTGGGGATCCAAAAATAATGAATGAACAGCTCATTTCTAGCTTTCACATTTTGACTACTATGGCTGCATGTTTTCTACACAAGGAACTGCTCACCCCAGCTGTTGCTTGAAAATGATAGTAACAGCTTTGTCCTACTCTTGATTAATCTTCTGCTTGACAATCTCATAGTCCAGGTTCTGAAGCTTCTGCATGAACAATTTTTTCAATCTGAAAAATTGATGGGTTCTGATGCTTGGATTAATACTAACATTAAATGTAATGAATCTCATAAATCTAATGGATGAAATTTTACGAAGATTGATTTTCGAAAAGATATCTTGGTAAAACTTTGCATTATTCAAAAGTACGAAATTTGGTAGATACAAAGTTAATCACAACCTAAATTCAAGTCTCATGCACATGCCCTTGTGAAGTTCGAAAAGTTTACAGTCTGTAAAGAGGTCGTCCTAGTATGGAAGTGAGACCAAAGGTGCTTGAAGAAACCAATGTTGTTTGATCTAAGGGGACTTGTGCAGGCTCTCAGGAACCACAAATTTATCAATTCCACAAGGAATTGATATCCATCTCCATGTGGGAAACCTTGGAATGTCAAACTCCTTTTCTTTTTTGGACAAATGGAAATTGTCAAACTCGTGGAATGGCAGAAATGTCTTTAAAATCTTGCCTCAAACAAGAGTTATTGTACAATTGTTGACTCAATGTGAGCATATTTATATACAATACTACGTAGGGAAACCTTGGAATGTCAAACTTCTTTTCTTTTGTGGACAAATGGAAAATGTCAAACTCGTGGAATGGCAGAAATGCCTTTAAAATCTTGCCTCAAACAAGAGTTATTGTACAATTTTTGACCCAATGTGAGCATATTTATATACACTACTACCTAACGCCCCTGGTTCAAAGAGTTCATTTTTCCGTCCATAGTTTTAAATCGTAGACGGTTGAAAAAACGATCACAGTCATCATTACAGTTAATTATAATACTAAAATAACGATAACATCATATTTCAAAATCATTATATTACATAACGACCGTTGTTTAAAACTATGTATCCACCTACCGAAAGGAAGATGATCATATCTGAGGCAAGAAGAACAACAAATGGGCAGTGAAGACCAGTCAGATTCTAGTTCAGATATGATAGACAGATTCTTTGAGGAGGAATTTTGAGTGATCTCCACGGCTGCACCACTGGTCTGGAAAAGATATCATAGAAGGTTAGAACTCTTGCCCGTTATTTTTCACCAAGGAATCTATATATGGCCTTTGAACCCTCAAAAGGTGATCTGACTATAAGTTGCCTATGGTTAAACATATGCTATGCATCCACAACCACCATTTTCTCTCCAAGGCTTAAATTAATTATGATGAAAGAATCTAAAACTTTAGTCGTGTACGCAGGATAACCATTGACTCTGTTTTCTTTTTATTCAAACGAAAGGGCATTAATCAAAAACAACATGGACGGATGTGTGAACTCATTTAGGTCCAACATTAAAAAATGTCAAAGGGAGTTGTGGCAGGTTTTTGTTGACTTGTGCTTTCTAGAAAATTGCTCTCTGTTCTGCCCTTGACTGTGTCACTCATAAGACTTGCCAAGAACCTCACTATTTGTTTAATTCTGGGCAAATGGGAAAAAATATCCCAATCCGTTGTGAAGAAAAACTTCTCCAGATTGCCATCTATGCAATGAGAACCATGCTAATCTCTGGAAAGTTAACGAGTAGAAATGCAGGAGGTTGTTTATTGCCTGGTTATCAGCAAACTTTTACTTGAACTGAGTTCTATTAGCAGAAAAGGTTGCAACTTGAATGCATTATCAGCTAAGCTTGAATTTCATCTCTCGATTTCCGAACAGAAGATAGTATGTTCGATCATTTTTTTGCCCTAAATTATCAGGCAAAAAGCAAAAAAAAAAAAAAAAAAAAAGGAATTGTTGAATTAAGGCATATTAAATTAACAAGAAGAGAACCTTGATTCCTGTTATTTCTGCAGCTTGAGATTCTTCGATGACATTGACTTGCTAAACTTAGTGAACACAACAGTTACAAGAACTTTTCTCCTTTTCCGTTCTGAAGCTGTGCTTGGCTCAAATATGGAAAAAAGAATGGAAGCCTCGAAGCCCCTTCTAAAAGGGGCAAGTGAGGAGATCATCAAAGAACTATTTCTCACTTCACTACATCAGCAATCAGCTTTGTCCAGCGCTTTCAGAATGAAGTAAAGAGGGGGAAAAAAATCTGTATCACAACCTCCTTCCAATTGCAAACTTTCTAGCGACTCCAAATATGAGTGCCTTCGTTACAAGCCCCCGATCAAGAGTACAAGCAAGAGCAACAGCCCCACCAATCAATAACAACCTAGGTACATTATTTCCAACACATTTCTTTGGTGGTTCCAGAGTTTCAATCTCTAATGAATCACTAGTGCTGCTCTCCAAAGACCTCAGGTAGTCTGCACTCACTTTGGTGTTGATCTGAGCCATGAAAGCACTACGTGAAAGTGGTCCTGCAGATGCTCTATATTTCTGATATGCACGTAAACCAGGATCAATCTTCTTAACAGCTCCCCACATGCCCTGCCGGACTCCGAGCTTTGCAATTTCCCACGGTATACCCATGTCTTCATTGTGAAACAGGATCACTTCACAGGCAGTCAGCTGGCCATCCCCTCTCTTTGATTCAACTGGTTCACATCCAACAGAGACATCTCAATCATACAAGGAACATGCCAGTGAAAAATGTGTATAACTTAGAAAACTGTAAGAAAAAGTTACCGGCACGAATGCACCAGCTTGAATAGTACAAATCAACACGCCTTGGTTTGTTGCGTCTTGGCACAGAGGAGCAAGGAACTCCCTGGAACATGAAGAGACACACGAATAAGTTTCTAGAAAAGATAACCATCTAATATGATCAAATACTAAATGCAGTTTTATCCCAATGGCAACGTTAATATCCCACACACCAAGTAGCACTAGATACAAGAAGACAGTTGATTTGTGCTCACAGCTCAAGCTGGCACAACTAGCATTGTCTGCCATCACAGTGGGATGCAGTTCACTTGTGCCCTCAGCAGCTAACTCACACGGTAACAACTAGTTACTTGCCCTGCATTTAATAAGCAGCTATTGCTACTCCAGGAACATGCCTTCTTTGAAGATTTGACAAAAAGAGAAGCATGAATGTCAATACTTCTAACTCTAGGTATTTAAGTTTGATATTCTAAAATATCTCAGCCTGTTCATTCAAAGTCATAAGATCTCTCACAAATGGAATTCACAATCCCCTTGTTTCATGATTCAGATTGCATTTAAATTGCTCAACGGATGTATATAATCAAGTTGTCTCTTTATGAGTATAATAACAGGAAGGATAAAATATATAAGACTGATGCATCCATTTTATATTGGTCTGTGCTGATTTTATCTTTCTCATACCTTTGTAACACAGTAGTAGAATCGACCTGACTCCCAAATTCGACGACCTATGATGTATTCTCGGTCACTACAAAAGAAAGGAAACTGTGCAAGAAAAACCAAAAAATTCAGTATAAAAGAAAAAAGAAAAATAAGCCATCATAAACAGAACTCGTCATAGAAACAAATGATAAAGTGGACACCCTTCCCACCTTGCGCACCCACTGGACCACCATGGTTCCGGTGGTAGGGCACTCCTCCAAAGTTTCAGCATGTAAAAGCATATCGTCCCACTGCGCTCGAAATTCATCATCCCAAAAGAAGTCCCTCACCATTTCAGGAATGGCATCCTCATAAACAGTTCTGCTACGATATTGCGGAGGGCCAGTCTAGAAAATCCATGCAGACATAATCCATATCAATCACAAGTGTTGCACAATTCTACCAATCAACAACATTGTCAAGCAAGAACTAGCATTGATAACTTATGGAGTTCATTGCCAAGACGCCCATTACACTAATTCACAAAGCAACGCCAATTTGACAGAAGCAAACCGACCTCAGGATCTCTACGCCAGGCTTGATAGCTCATAGTCGGTGTTGATCGATCCATCATCTGAATCCAAGCAGGACCTCCATCTTTCACTTCAACAAGCTTACACAAATGCTCCAAATCATCTCCCGTTACAAGATTTGATTTTTCCATTTCCGTTTTTGATGAACTGCCGATTAAAGTCAACCATATTAGTTTCTTTTTTCCCAATTCAATCAAATTCCACAAATTCTAATCATAATTCATAGCTAAGAGCATCATACTAAACAGGCAGGCCTGGAATGCAAGTAATTCCTAACAAAAGTCATAAAGAACATTGACTTTGAATCTAAAACCAACTAACCTGCATTCAGAATTGAGGGTTGGTGGCACAGAGAAAGAATCCTTTTGAATCCCACCATCATCAGCAGCCCAAGAAACACAACTTGGCAACTGAAACTTCAAACTATTCAAACTGGGAATCATAGAACTTATTGTTGTTGCTGAAAATTCTCCTTTTTTATCCTCCTTTGAAACCTTAGAATCCAACAACATTTCTCTACTCAAATTACTAGCCCATTTAGGCTTCCATGCCCACCCAACAACAACCCCAACAGCAACAGCAATCCACAAAGGAATCACAAAAATCAAAATCTCACTCAACACTTCCCCAATTGTAGGTCTTTTCAAAATCTCCAATAAAACTGACCCAAAAGCCATCTTTAACCAATAATAATATTTTTAAAAAAAAAAAAAAACAACCAGATAAATTTAACCGTTGAAAACCAAAAATAACCAATAAAAACCCTCGATTCAATCCAAAAGAATAAACCTTTAAAGCACAGGATTATTCAAGGGTTTCCAGAATAAAAAAGAAGAAGAAGAAGAAAATCCACAAACCCCCCTCTAAAACCAACCCAAAACAACCTCCACAATCCCTAAAGAAGATAAAAGAAGATAAGGGGTTTGTAGAAAAAATGTACGAGAATTGAAACAACAAGTTAAAACTGTGTTCTTGTTGTTTGAAAGGGATAAGGATTCAAAGATAAGCGGTAGAGAGACGTGTTATTCAGATTACCGTGGGCCCAACATGATTTTCCTTGCCCTTGTTTTTTTCTACCTTCTACCACACAAACTGTGTTGTTGTAATAACAGTAGTAGTTACAAAATATCAGTTTTTTTCTTTTTCCTTTTTTGGAGAAGCAAATTTGTAGCAAATGCTGAGAGATAAATGGGCAAGAATGGATAAAATCTGTAGGCTTGTGCTATACTGGAAAAAGAGACAGAGAGGGAGGATTGGTGTCTTCTGTCTGTTTTAACAGTTGTTTTTGTTTGTTGTAACGTGTGAGGATTTTTGGTTGCCGAAGTTTTTAGGGCAAAGCCAATGAGTTTTATGCGTTGTTTATTGGAGAGGAGAGGCCGTGTGGATGAGTCTTTTATATACGTGGAAGATGTGGTCTGTGGTCAGTGGTCTGTGGTCTGTGGTCACAACTCACTAGCAAGCTACCGCGTCTGGAGTTTCTATCATTTATCACGTTTTAGGTTTGGCTTTTTCTTGTTTAAAAGTACACTTATTTACCATCTTATAATAAGGGTTTGTCTATAGACGTAGCTCACTAGGTTTAATGTGTTTGAACTTTGAACTTTCATTGATTTCTGTTATGGACACGTAGGTAGTTTGTTTTTTAAGTTGTGATTAGTGGATTTGTTTGTCACTTCGTTTTTTTTTTTTTTTGGAAAAAATCGTGTAAAAAGAATGATGATGAGAAAAATTGAAGGTGGATGGATGAATACTTTGATAAATAATTACCTAAAAAAGAAAATCCATTTAGATGAACTGTGTAAAAGGGATGATGATGAGAAAAATTGAAGGTGAATGGATGAGTAATTTGATAAATAATTACCCAAAAAAGAAAATCCATTTGGATAAATTTTATAAAAGGAATGATGATGAGATAGATTCAAGGTGGATGGATGAATGAATGAGAAAGGAAATGGAAAGTTCTTTATATGGTTATTGATTTGTATTTTACAATTTGGACTAATTCTTTTGTGTCCTTTCTTCTATTCAACCTTTGTCCATGAATTCTCCAATGTCTTTTCCATATGTATTTCTACATAGTTTCCAATGGAGACCAGTGTGTTTGATGAATGACATAGTTTTCTTATTGACAAGATAGATGTAACTTATAATTTGTCCAATTTAGACAAATTAACTTCCATCACTACTATCTTAACGTGTATCGATTTTTTAATCTGTTCCTAAAAAAAATATTTAATTTATCTTTATATTTTGAACTGATTTTTAATCTATTCTTTTAGTTAAAACTTAAGGTTAAATTAAGTCAAATTAAGTATGTGATTTGATAGAATTTTCTTTGTGATTTAGCACAATAATTTATATCTATCAATATGAAAATTAATTTCTAAAAATTAACAAGAAATTTTGACAAGCAAGATAGATTAGAAACAACTTCAAAATATAAGAACATATTAGATGTATTTGTTTTAGAGACAGATTGAAAATTTAACCTATTATATAAGGACATGTAAGAGTATTAATTCTAAAAAAAATTATAAATATGTAAATTTAGATGCAGATTACTCGGCAAAGATTAAACAAGACAAAAACTAATTCTTTTATTAATATTATTGCACGCAACACATGTTAAAAAATTTTCATTAAAGTTTGAGAATTTAATATTTAATAAAACAGGTTGATTGCATTTTTAAAATAAAATACTATCAAATAAGACACATATTTATGTTTGGATGCATTAAAATTACGAGTCATGGCTTTGACTGGTTAATTTTAATTATATATCCAATATTCTTCAGAACATTATGAATTATATTTGGAAAGTCTTAACTATACTCTATTAAAATAATTTATCTTCAAATCAAATAAATTTATAATTTTGGATAAGTACCGGTTACCCATGAATAAATGCAAATCCTAACCAGTGATGTGAAAATCTGAATTCCAATCAATTTATTTTCAAATCAAATAACTACCAATTATCATGTATAAATGCAAATTCTAACCAGTGATGAAGTTTGAATTTAGAAAACATAATCAATCATATTCTCAAGAACATGAAGAGGATCTGACTAATCATCATTTTGGCAAACATTTTAGGAAATTTTAAATTCATTAATGCAATATAAACAACAAAGTATTCATAAATTTAATATTTTTTTTAAAAAAACTAACATTGCGTGTGTGCTGTGAAATTTCAATTATCCATGTATAAATGCAAGCTATTGATAATTTTGTGGTAATTATAGTAGCACCAGCTGTTTGGAAACAGATCAAACAAGAAAATAGAATACAAAAACAAAAATAATCACACAATATAGAAATTTATATAATTCTATAATTGTGTCTATTTTATTATTGTATTAAAAAATTTTTATCTACGAGATTATCGTATTCGTAACGTTCTAAATTATGAGTTCTATTAACACCAGTACGCACAACCTAGCTCCATGCAATTGCCATCAATGTGTACTAGAATTTGATTAATTCTAAACTGATCAAATTGACATTTGATTAACTTAGACAAACACTTTAAACGGATCGATGAGACACGGATTTGCCTAATCATGCTTATTAGAATGTCTTATTGACTGACTCAACTGGCAAGTTGTACAAGAAAGAATCATAAGCTTTTTGAGCAATGAATTGTTAGTGGGTCTTGGGAATATATACTGTTCACCAATTTTGACCTGAAAGTTTCAAAAGAAATGCTATGAAATGTTGATTAACAATGGGATGCTCGTTAATATTCCTCCGCTATAAATAAATACTCTTTTCTGTTTTTTCTTAGTCCAAGAAGAGGTTGAATGAGTTTTAAATTATAAAAACGGAGATAAGTACCTCTTTTTTGTATCTAAACCTCATTATAATATTTTTTGAGTAAATTATAAATTAGTCCCTCTTGTTTTGAGAAACGAATTAGTTAATCCCTCTTGTTTAAAAAACTAATTATTTAGCCCTCATGTTTTGAAATATACTTGTAATTTAGTCTTTTTTGCTTTTTTTAATTTATTTTGATTTTTTGTTTCAAGAAACAGAAAAGAAAACAATATGAAAAAGATTCATGGAAAAATAAGAGATTTTATGAAAAAAATAATATTAAATGAAGCATGTTCAATATTGATTAAAAGACTAAATAATATTTTTTGAAACGAAAAGAACTAATTAATTTGTTTCTTCAAACTAGAGGGACTAATTTATAGTTTACTCAATATTTTCTATATGTGAAACTAAGATCTTCTAGTATAAATTTCAAATTCTAACCATTATTTTTCTTTGCAAGAAATTAATAATGTGTATTGTTAAATTCACCAATAAAATTATTATATTTACTTTTTTTACAAAATTCCAAATATATCCTCCATTAATATTTGTTATATAATAATTATTTGTAATTAGTGAAAGATGTATTGGTAATTGTGTAAAAAATAATGGTGGGAATAACAATTCTATTGATGAATTTTAGCACCATCCATTAATAATCTTCGATATTTTATGATTTTTGGTTGTTTTTTATTTTTTTTATTTTTTTATTTTAGAAAGCATGTGACTATATGTGATATGTATAGCTAAACTGGACGGCATGTAGTAAAAGGAGTGTCAGTTAAAAAACTATATAGTTCGAGATTTGACAAAATAATTCAGAGTGTCAATTAAAATAGCCTATAGTTAAAGGGTATTTGTACAATTTAACCATCTTTGTTTTTAAGCTCAAGCATGCTAAAAGGTCGAGAAGTGGGGCATCAATCATTTATTTAATTAGTTCACACTAGTTTGATATCCGAGCTATGCGTAGTGCGGACAATCGTTACATGTATAGGATTAACAATTCGTATATTGTAATACAAGTAAAAAGTTTTATTTTTGATGCTTGATATAAATTGAACCTATATATAATTAATTTTTAACAAAACTAACGATATATATATATATATATATATTCGAGTATATAGAATAAATAGTAAAATTAAAAGAAAAAAATCACTTAAATTGTAGAAATATATTGAAGTCAATAAATTAAAATAAAAACTACAACAAAATTGGTTCGATAAATGCTGAATAAATATATATAAAAAAGCAAATAAAACTTGTGAATTTTTTGAACTCATCGTTATTTTTTAAAAAAATCAAGTCAAATTATCTAAAACATATTTTTAAGAGTTTCCTTTTGTTTCTTGGTGATCCAATCCCAAAACACATTAAGATTTAAAATAATTAGCTAACTTTTTTTTTGTTCTATCATGAGATTGGTGGCCGGACTTTTAAAAATATAAAATAAATTATAGGAAGAAAAAAAGAGCAAGGTCGTGCCTAGTTGTGTGTGTGTGTGTGTGTGTATAAATATATAACCCAATTAAATTATATAGAATACATCGAAGTGAATAGATTTAAATAAAAAATACTATAAATTTGATTTAAATAAATTCTGATTATATATTTATATATAACCAAATAAAACTATGAATTTTTTTAAATAATTATTAATTTTTTGAAAAAAATTTAGGTCAAATTATTTTTTTAACCAATTATTATTCTTTTTTTAAAATGAAGTCAAATTATTTAAAATACACTTTTAGCTCTTTCTCTCTCATTATAATTTATATAAGCAACACCACCATTTTCATATAAAAATTATAAAAATAATCAATCGTATAAATTATAATAATATATCTTAAAAAAT